TTTGTGGATTGGTGTTGGACATATGGGTTAATGCTGGACTTGTGGGCTTGGGCAGCACTGGGTTGGGATGTTTTCGTGATGTGCACTTAACCTTTATATAAAACTCTCTCTTATACATGAGTTTCTATGGATTTGTTTCTCTAAAGTACCCAGACTAACACAATATCCAAAGTAAAAGAAAAATGCATTTGCAAAGTACAAAAAGGAGGATTCCCTCTCAAAATGCAAAGACCATGACAATAAAAATCACCACAACAGAAAATGACCAGCACCCAGGGCCCCGTTCTGGAAGGAGGAGGCAGAGGGCGAAGCTTCGAGTGGCCAAGGCCTAGTTCCAGTCAAGTCTGACATTAGAACTGAGAGCCAATTGTCTGTGTCCACTGTAAAGGGTCAAGCCCAAGGGGTAATGGCTAAGACAAGTGCCACCCACAAGAGATCACAAGCGCACGGTCAACAATGACTTCTGTGAGGCTGAGCTGTGGCTTATGGCTGTCTTCATGGCACTTCCATATGAAACCAGGCTGTGAACTGCTGAGGGCTGGAGGGTCAAGCAAGTCCACATCACATAAAAACAGACACACGCTCCCCTAACTATGATCAAGAAGGTAGCGATGAACTGGGGACAGATGAGAAAGTGCACTGTACAGACAGGGGAGTGCTGACAGTGAGGCTCCAGCGTAGGCCAGCTCCACCCTAGAAGCAGTCCTTCTTTGGGACCATTACCTGCCCTATAAGGCCACCTTGCACACAGCCTCCACTCACCAAACTGTAGTCTCAAACTTTCCAGAGAAATCTCAAGGCACTTGATCCTGGGTTTACTTTTCCTGAAAACCTCCTAATATCTGCTTAAACTGCACCAATGACATTCCTTATATTACTCTTAGGTGATCCACATCAACATTAATCTTCCCAAGTTGCGGGAGACCACAAATGATCATTTCCAGTTTCTTACTTCACCGCACAGGCCTAATATAATAACTCCGCATATTTCTAACTCAAATTTAGTATGAAATATTATTTCTTCAAATCATGCTTAAAAGAAGCAACCCCGTGTATTTGATTAATGGATTATGTATAATAAAACTTGAAAAGCATAAGCAAAGACCACTTCCAACTTACTTCCTTTAACTTGATTCAGAGAGAGTCATAGGAGGGCTGGAGAGAGAAAGAAAACGCTAACATGTCACATCTAATTCAATCACTAACTTCAGGTAAAGCTACAGAAATGAATGGCCACAGGCCTTTTCCTGGAAAAGGATGCCAGCTAAGTGCCCACAAGGGCAGGGGGAACACAGCCCCCACCACAATACCTTTAAGTTTGGTACAGGTGTGGAGAAGCGGGTCGGCAGACACCATGCACGGCCACCACGGGTACCCTGACACTTTGGACCACACCAAATCACCAATGTTGTATTTCAGCAGCTGGTCTTTGTCTCGGCTGCTGTTGGGACAGGACTCTTTCTTGGATGGAGCCTGAAGAGAAACAATAGAAGGCAAAGACACCAAATCAAACAACCATTACCAAGTTAGTCAGAGGAGTTGCTGACACAGAGGCCCACTTCCCCCACCACCTCCTCAGCCTGCCTGTGGCCCTCAGTGGCCTCTAGGAGTGCTTCACAGCCCTGTCAGTCTCCAGGTGTCCTGACTCCATCCCCCACAGCCACCTGTCTAGCTGTCACTGCTCCCACAGGGAAGGGCTGGGAGGCAAGGGCCTTCCAGGCGGCCCTCCCGGAGGGCCCAGCCCACCTCGCCTTAGCCGAGGCACTGGGGCTCATCCAGCCTTCAACCTTGGCCTCGTCGTCGGCAGAACCCGAGTCAGGTATGGGGCAGAATGGTCCAACAAGCAACAGCTGCTCTCACAGCCAAGGGTCAGGCTAGGACTAGAAGACCAAGGGGGCAGGTGGGCGCCTTTCTGATAACCCTTTCCACTTGTCTGCACACATCGGAAAAACCATCCTCCCATCAATGAATCAGGAAGCATAGAATGAGAGTGAGTAGGAAGTCATTACTGACTTCGCATTGGTCTGCTAGCCAAAAGGTCAACAGTTGGAGACCACCAGTCTCTTCTCAAGAGAAAGACGGGCAGCTCTAGCCTGTTTTATAGAGTCACTAAGAGTTGGCATCAACTGGAGCGATGGCAAGCAGGGAGGGTAGCACCCAGGAGTGGACTCATGCCTAACAGACAGGAGTGTGAGACTCTGTGAGCCTGCATCACAGGCTGTTAGAAAGTTCAGTACTGTCTGGTTGTGTGTCAGGTCATTGCAGCCCCAGGTCGGCTGCCTGAAGACAAGTACTGCTGCCTCCTTCGTGCTAATGCAGAGCTTTATCTCAAGAGGTGAATCCCACTTGGGACCAAACCAGGTCCATGACAGCCTGACCAGGCCTGTCCCCTGTCACAGCACCAGGGAGCACGCAGCCAGGAGGGCTTTGAAAAAATTGTTTTATCACCCCAGGCTCCTAGACAGGTCTTTCAAAACAACAAAATGCTCCCTGCTATAATTACCTTAGGGAGAGCTAACCCGCTCCTAGGCATGCAAAAAGGCCAGTTTTTTTTTCTTTTTTAACATTTTATTAGGAGCTCATAAAACTGTTATCCCAATCCATACACACATCAATTGTGTAAAGCACATTTGTACATCGTTTCTCAAAACATTTTCTCTCCATGTAAACCCCCGACATTAGGTCCTCATTTTTCCCCTCCCTCCCCGCTCCCCTCTCCCGCATGAGCCCTTGATAGTTTATAAATGGGTATTTTGTCATATCTTGCCCTGTCCGACGTCTCCCTTCATCCACTTTTTGGTTGTCTGTCCCCCAGGGAGGAGGTCACACACAGTTCCATGTAATCGGTTCCCTCTTTCCTACCCATTCTCCCTTTCCCCTCCCTGTTTTGCCACTCACACCACTGGTCCTGTAGGGCTCATCCGTCCTGGATTCCCTGTATTTTCAGTTCCTATCTGTACCAGTGTACCTCCTCTGGTCTAGCCAGTCTTGCAAGATAGAATTCGAGTCATGGTAGTGGGAGCGGGGAGGAAACCTTTAGGAACTAGAGGAAGGTTGTATTTCTCATCATTGTTATATCGCACCCTGACTGGCTCATCTCCTCCCCGAGACCCCTCTGCAAGGGGATCTCCAGTAAGGCCAGGTTTTTTTTAAGCATTTGCTATTTTAACCCTTTCAAAGAAGTTGCCCCCTTTACCTCTCCTACCTGTGGAATTTGCAAATGAAATTCCTCAACTCTTATCAATTAAATACTGCAACTCTAGTGACAATACCAACCCCCAAATGGGCTCTACTACGCCACCACCACCCCCTGCTCTGTCCCTGCAGCCCTGCAAGTACAGGACAGTGGGGAGCTGCCACTCAAGGCACTGAGTCATGAGTGTAGGGAGAGGCACCTATTAGCCACCCCACCCCTAAATGAGCACATGTCCACAGGCCATAAGCACACTTGGGGCCGCTACACCGGTTTCCTTCTGCCAAGATCAGGCTTCCTCTGTAGGTATGTGCAGCTTATACTCATCTAAGCCCTAGCCCCAATCCCCTCCCCAATGTCACTCTGAGGCATGGTGGTACAGACTAGATGGGGTCACTGAGTGCTCTTTTAACTGAAGATATGGTTCTCCACTTCTCTTCCATGTGTAAGGGTGGGAACAAAGAATATAAACGCATAAGCCCCAAACCCAACACTCGAGGAGTCAGGCCCCATGCTGGCCCACCTGCTGAAAGGGTGGGGGTGGGGGGGGGAAATACAAGGACAAGATGGGAAAACAGGAGCCTCATCTCTCCAGGGTCCATGGAGTCCGTTTGAGGAGCCAAATGGCCCTGGTGTGCCCCAATGATGATGACGACAACAGAAGTACGAAGCTAGCTAACAACTAGCTAACAATGTCTCTGGAGATAAGATCCATGACACTCCAGCCTAGAGGCTGAGAACCCTGGGACTGATCAGATCTGGGGTCAGAAACTGGTTCTCTTTGTAGTCATTTGAATCTTGAGTGTTTGGTTAACCTCTCTAAGCTTCCCAACCAGTGGACCTCCAGCAGCCAAGCTGAGGTACTCTGGTGCACAAGGCCTGATGTACAGCAGCATCAACCACCATATAGCCAGAGGAAAACAAAAACTGCCTGTTGCCTGGCCCAGGGCCCGACTGCCGCACAAGATGGACCAGCTGGCAGGTAGCCTCTCCTAGTCCTCAGGCACAGCCCAGTCTACCCCACTGCAGAATTCCTAAGTACCTTTTTGTCTGTGGGACTTGAGATCTTGGATACGAGAGCTGCTTCGACCAGGCCCTGCTCCAGGAAGGAGTCATACTTTATGCTTCTCTTCCGGCTCCTCCTTGCCTTGTTCTCTGGTTTTTGTCCATTTTCTTCAACCTGCGACACATCAGCTGCACTGTCACCACAAATGGAAGATTCAAAAAGTGGTTTCCCATTCATGTATGTTTTGGTGATCTTCAGCTTTATTTCTGGAGATCCATTTTTAATAGGGGTCGTGCTAGGGGGCGTCCCAATTCCTTTCACCTCCTGGGACTCGAAGTGCAATTTGGCATCATGAGCCCCAGGCTCCCCATTGAACACTCGGGAGGTGAAGTCTTTCAGCTTCTCGGCAGGAATAAAGGGAAGCGCATCGTGGCCATTGAACTTCTGCATGACGCCCTCCTGCAGAGTGGTGGACAGCTGGGCCTTGCTGAGGAACACAGAGCATTCTCGGTTCACGTCACAGCTCTTGCCATTAGCGTTGCTGAGGGTTTCTGGTGCCTGCTTCATCTTCACGCACCCGACAACTTTCTCAACAGGAAGAGGACTCTTCTTGATGCCAACGTCCATTCAGCCCAGATGCTCCCGTCCTCAGAACACTACAGTATGAGAGAGAGGGGGTGGAGAAAGGCATTTAAAACCATGGATAAGAATGCCAGCACCATACAGCTCTGCCTTCTTAGTAACAACGGAGGTCCCAGGAGACAGGTCTGTCAAACAATGACACAGAATTGCAAAATGATAAAGCCGGAATGAGAAGCAACCAAGATTTTAAAAAGCAAGGAGGCGGTCAGGAGCACTGACTTAAAACTCTGGATCTAGCCAGAGCAAGCACTGTGGCCTGGGACACAGTAGAGGCTGTTTAACCACCCTTGACAGCAAAGTCACAGTCCACCTATCAGTACAGTGGAACCTTAAAAACCGCAAAGCACGTGGGCAAGCGGCCACTAACCCAGAGCCAGGCCTAGAGCTTCACCACAGAGTAGGGTAGAACTTCAAATAAGATACACAGTAACACACCTGGCCCAGTCCCTCCTACCAGTTCAGGCTGCAAAGTTTAAAACTTGCATCTTCCAGGTCCTAGGAGAATATACAGTCGTCCCTGGCACATAGCGTGTTCAGGTTACAAAGAAGCCCACTCAATGACCCTTGGGTTTTCTGCTATCATCAGTGTAAGTAGTCTGGTGGTACAACACTGAAAACCCTTGAGCGCAAAGCACAAGGTGAGCAGTTCAAACCCACTGGGACTTCCCTGTGGCTGCCTGCGTCTGTCATGATTATCAGTCTTGGACAACTCATGGAGCAGCTCTCCTCCAACCAAGAGGGTGGCCATTGGCTCGGCAGCACTGGGGGGTGGTTTGGGAATCATCAGTAATGTGCACTGCATGTAATGTTACAGTGGCTCATTTGCTGGCATTGATAATCTCAGATGTTCGAAGATAGAATGTATAAAGATATGGATATTAGAAAAAAAACACATTTTAAAACTTCTTTTTTTAAAAAGGAGGCATCAAATTATATCAGGACCAACTTACATGGAGTTGTCAGAATGGAACCCCTTTGCAAGTTGGCACTACCAGTGTGGCAGCATGACGAAGCCTTATGCATCAGCTTTGATGGCACTCAGTCCCACTGGGCCCAGGTCCAGGCCACACACTGATGGCCAGGTCCCCTATCATCCCTACTAGATTAACGAGTAGCAGGCAGCACTGCTAGGCCACAACCCCCAAAAGCAGCTGGGTTTAGAAAGGCATCTCTGGCTGCAGACTCTCTGCTGAGCAGCTACGATCCCCAGGCTGGGGGCTGTCAGAGATGAGACGAGCTACAAAGGAATAAGAGCCAGGCAGGCATGTTCCTGGGCTAAGAAGACATCCACCAAGAGGGGACCCATCACTGATAACAAAGAGACTCCTTCTGGGGAGATGGAGTGAGTAGTAAGAGCTAGAGGTGCCCGCCAATGCAAGGCTTGGTCCTCACCCAGGCCACTCAGCAATGTCATTAGAATCCACCCGACAGCACATAATCATGCAAATGCTTTGGATGGCCATGGCTTGGGGAACACAGCTGATACATAGTGGGTAGGTCAAGAATGTGATTCACTATTCAGCTTTGGTAACAAAGAATTAGCCATCCCAAAATGTCACCAGTGCCGAGGTTGAGAAATGTTGGTCGCGAGCAATCCGGCATCCCTGGTGTCTGCATCTGCAGTTCCCTCAGAATGATTGGCCAGACACCCGAGGAAAAGACTCAAAACTGTAAATCAGCTTCAAAACTTCAAGTTCCCGTTCAGATTAACATGCATTATCCAAACCCATTTCGAGCAAGTCCTTCCAACTCACAGTGACCTTCTACAGAGCTGCTAAGGCTACAGATCTTTACAGGCGCAGATAGTCTCATCTTTCTCCTAAGGAGCAGCTGGTGGGTTTGAACTACTGATTTTTGGATTAACAGCTCAATGCCTACCCTACAAATGACCTTAAACAACAAGCTACTGTTAAAAATGCTTTGCATACCAATTTATAAACTATCAAGGGCTCATGAGGGAGGGGGGAGCGGGGAGGGAGGGGGAAAATGAAGACCTAATGTGGGGGGTTTAAGTGGAGAGAAAATGTTTTGAGAATGATGAGGGCAATGAATGTACAAATGTGCTTTACACAATTGATGTGTGTATGGATTGCGATAACAGTTGTATGAGCCCCTAATAAAATGTTTAAAAAATAATAATGCTTTGCATGTTTTGCTTTTTATTTTTAATTAGTTGGGACTTAATATACATATCCATATCATTCCATATTTCAGGCACATCAAGTAGAATTGTACAATTGCTACTGCAATCAGTTTCCAACCATTCGTTTTCTACATGGACACCTTGACATTATCTCCCTTTCAGATTTTACTTTTAAATAGGCTTTTTAAAACTAAAAAGTTTTGGAATTAGGGAAAATTTGTCAAAATAGTAAAGTTGGCATATACTCCAGATCCAATTTCGCCTATTACCTTCATATTATGAAATGATACTGTTGTTATAATTATATAGTCAATGTGGAGATCTCATTATTCAATCAGTTTATACTTTTTTCACATTTCCTCAGTGTCCACCTAAAGTTCTTTGTCCCAAAACCCATCCAGAATACCACATAGCCTTTAGCTGTCATGTTTCCTGAGCTTCTCTTGGCTGTAACAGTTGTCAGACTGCCCTTGTTTTTGAAACCTTGGACAGTTTTAGGAGTCCTTTTTTATGTGCATTGTAGAATATCCCCCTGTGAGAATTTGATCGTTTTCTTTTTTTCCTTTTTAAATCATTTTATTAGGGGCTCAACAACTCTTATCACAATCCATACATACATCCATTGTGCCAAGCACATTTGTACATTCATTGTCCTCATCATTCCCAAAACATTTTCTACCTGAGCCCTTGTTATCAGCTCCTCATTTTTCCCCTCCCTTCCTGCTCCCCCCTCCCTCATGAACCCTTGATAATTTATAAATTATTATTATTTTGTCATATCTTGCATTGTTTGACATCTCCCTTCACCCACTTTTCTGTTATCCATCCCCCCAGGGAGGAGGTTACATGTAGATCCTTGTCATCGGTTCCCACTTTCTAGCTCACCTTCCCTCCACCCTCCTGGTATCACGACTCTCACCACTGGTCCTGAAGGGATCATCTGTCCTCGATTCCGTTTCCAGTTCCTATCTGTACTCATAGCAAACCAACTGTCTGTCCCACGGGCAACATCTATAAACTAAGGACAAAACAAATGAAATAACTACTTGAAGGCACTGGAAAGCAACCAGAAGTTGGGAGAAACTGAATGGGCATCAACACTTGGAAGAAAGAGAATGGCACTCGGCGAGTTTCTCAGTGTTTACCGTTTTGTGCCTGAGGAATTTGGGAAAATAGCAGTTATATGACGAAGCGGTCAAAAAAGACTCAGAAAGGAAAAGAGCCACAAAGGGAGCCCCAAATTCAGCAAATAACTATCCAAATCTCAAGCCAACGCACGTATGGGGCTGACTTCAAGCAGCCTAACTTGTAAAATAATTAAAATGAGATCCAGATGCTAAACCAAACCAAACCAATCCTTCAATAAACGTTGCTGCAAAACTGAATTTCCACATGCAAAATAATAAAATAGATCTCATGTGGCCTTACACCATACACAAACACCAATTCCACATGGAGAAAAAGCCTAAATGCAAAAACGAAAAACCACAACTTATTAGAAGGAAACATAGGGACATAGTTATGTATCCAAGTTTTTAACAATGGATTATCAGACAAGACAACCAACAGTAAGCAAATTGATAACTGAGGCCTGATAAAAATTCAAATACTTTCAATCATCCAAAAAACTTTATCAACAATGATGAGAAAATCCAGACCAGGAGAGAATTTTCAGTAATTAGTTCTCTGATAAGAGTTTAATATCCACAGAGAGAAAACTATTTTAACTCAACAATAAAAGACAACCCAATCAAAAAATGGACAAATGACTAGAAGAGACGTTTTCTTTAAGAGGATATTCAAATGGCCAACCAACACAAAAAAAGCTCAATGTCATTAAAAACACTGCCATCAAATCAATGGCAACTCAAGCAACGCCACACAAGGCTATCTTGATAGGAGCAGACCGTCTCCTCCTTCTCCCAAGAGGTGTCTGGTGGGTGTTTTAAGCCATCAACCTCGCAGTTAGTAGTCCAGCACATATCTGACAGCACCACCATGGCTCTTCTCAAAAGCCAAGCCTATTGCCATCATGTCTATTCTGGCTCATGACAACCCTACAAGGCACAGCACAACTGCCCAACAGGGTTCCCAGGAAGTAGACGATCACATCTTTCTCCCCTAGGGCAGCTAGTGGGGTCAAACCACTGACAGTTTAGTTAGTGGCCAAGCACTTACCCAGTGCACCACCATGGTTCCTTATTAGCCCTTAAAACCTAAACGCGAACCCGGTACCATCAAAGTCCATTCTGACTCATAGTAACCCTTTAAAACAGAGTAGCAGTACCACATAGAGTTTCCATGGCTGTAAATCTTTACAGAAGCAGGCTGACATGTAGTCTGTAGATCTGAACTGTCAACATAGGGGTCAGTAGTTGAGCACTTAAACCATTGTGCCAGAAGACCTCCTTCATTAACCTTCAAACAAACAACCAAACTACTCACTGCCATGGAGTCTAGTCTGACTCACAGCGACACTATAGAACAAGGCAGAACTACCGCTGTGGGCTTCTGAGGCTGTAAATCTTTACAAATAGAAAGCTTTGTCTTTCTCCCTCAGTGGCTGGTGGTTTCAAACTGCTGACCTTGAGATTAGCAGCCCACTATGCATTAAAACCTCAAGGTACCACTTCGCATTAGAACAGCAATGATCAAAAAACTGGAAAAGGTGCTAGGGAAGATGTTGTGAAGCTGGAGCCCTCATCCACTGCTGGTGGGATGGAAGTGACACAACAGGCGCTTACGGAAAAAGAGTGTGGCAGTCCCTCAAATGGCTGAATGTGTAGCTATCAAACGCACTCTCAAGCCTAGGTACAGACCCAGAAGTGAAGGGTCTGAAGGCCAACAGAAA